CGGGTTCAGCGGTACATTCCAACTGGAGTCGGCGCAGTTCACTTTCGACCTTATCACGGAGGGCATAGGGAACAGTGCGACCTTTCCAGAACCGCGGTTTTGTCTGCGGTTTCAATACCAGATGTGCACTGTACTTCTTTAAAAGTCCTTATCTCGACTGATCAAATAAGACTGCATGCTTCTGCAAAATCTCGGATAACTGCGGATTGTCTTTCACCAGGTTGACGTTCGACATTATGCCAGGAAGGCGCTTAATTCCATCGCGGCCCAGGATGTTCGGACCCGGTCCTCCAGAAACGTACACATGACTCGTTGAATTACGGTAAGAAATGCGTGCATTGAAGGTACCAAGCACATTCACAATCTGTCACGTGTTAGATCGCAACTGTATGTTCGGTGGACACGGCTTTGGAAGTTGGGATAAGGCGTCTGGTCGGATCAAAATGACTGCGGAATCGGTATCAATTTCAAACTCTACCGGTTGTTCGTTTACTTGGACGGATACGACAAACGGTTTTTCTGCTGTAATGGTGCGATTAAAAACGGTTGTGGTGTTAATCTCAATTCTGGTGCAATTCATCGGTAATGCAGTTTGTAGCCTTACATTGTTCCTGGACGAGTGATTTCCGCTTGGAGAGACACACTTTCTGAATATGACCCATTTTTCCACAAAATCTGCATAATGAATGAATGTGCGGACAGTCAGTCGGGAACAAGTGATTCTCCACCGCAACGGTAACAACGGAATTCCTTGCGCTGTACGGGGCGAGGTAAGGCATGTCCACGGTTAGTCTGGTAGACCTTGTTTACGTCATGTGAGATTGATTGATTTGAAGAGGGAAATGTGGCTAGTACCTGGACGAGGTTGGCACGCTGTCGGACTATATCACATGCATTTTCCCACGTCAATAGGGTTTCATCTTCGGAGAGCAGACGTTCTCGTGCCTTCTCATCGAAAACACCCACGATTAATGCCTGTAACAGCATCGCGTCTTCGAACTGGGCTGGAAGGATCTGATCATAGGCGCAGTAAGGAGACGAGAGATAAACTCATTTACAGTCTCATCTGGCTGTTGTCGAATGGTGCTGAATTAATACCGAGCAGTAAACACATGGGGCTTTTCCCCCCATATTCGATCCAGGGAATAGAACACAGTTTTTAAGTCTCGCTTCGTATGTAATTGTAAACTGTCGAAATGTCGCTGGCCCGAGATGGTGGCGTAGTAATTTAATTTTCACTGCATCATCAATCGTGCAATTTCCGCCAAGGAGCAAAAGCAACTCAACGTAGTTAGTAAATGTAGTTTTCCACTGCAACCATTGTTGCGCAGTAGGCCTCTCAGTAGAAGAATTCCAAAAGGATTGGGGTGCCGTTATTGAATTTGCCATGGACAATCAGAATAACCTCCGTCGCCAAATTGTTACACTCAACCGAAATCAGAACAACAGTATTGCAAATGGAAGTTTAGTAGAAGCAATGGCAATAGTACATCGGCAGTCCACACTGGGTGCAAGATCAACTGTTTAGTTTTACGCAGTTCACATGTTTTAGCTAAGCACTCGCTTTTGAACCAATCAATAAGCATCGCTGGTTAGTCAGGAGATGGGCACTAGCGCGCACAATGCAGCTGCACAGGCTAGGTAGTGTAGCATGACCTTGACGCGCTCAACGTCTGTATCACTGGGATTATGTTAACGCATATGTTACTGACAGGAAAATTTGCGGAAAGAATAGTCATGTCCTAGCACGCTTACGAATGTCTACACCGTATTGACCAGCGAGCATTTGTCCCCGAAACTAAAAGCAGCGTGTGCTCCGACTGGTCTTGCGGCTACTACAGCTTGTTTGTACCTGTACTGATAGCGTTGAAATGTTTGAACCGTTTTGTTCCGCATATTTGTGAATGGCTGACCTTTCTACGTCTTTATGGTTGGATCGATGGACATGCGCTTTATTACCACTACCAGTCAACTGTATGGCAAAAGTAAACGAACAGAAATAGGCGATATATACATTTACCGCCGAAACGTACAACCTTGCTAGGTTAACGGGCACTCAAAGAATGGCTAGCTAGGGAGAGAAACGAAGAAATGTTACGGGAGTGTCTAAGGTACTGTTCGGGTAACGGTCCGGAAGTGTGTGTGTGTGTGTGTATAAACAAACGTGATCAACGTGTGACAGACAGGTTGCTTAATTTGTTGCTTACAATCTGAAACCATAATCTGGTACTTTTTTACTCATTATATGAAGAAATCTCCAGGTCACTACACTTTCGTTACAGTGGTATTGTTTAGGTTTCGAGTCCTAATCAGCTTGCGAATGATCCCACGTGTATGGTAGCGACACAAGTCTTGTGGCGGTGGAGTTGGACGTGTCCTAAGGAATGTTAGTATTGTACTAATTAGTAGCAGGATTTTAGTTGTAAATCTGATAAGGCTTTCATCCCAACAGTTCACAAGCTACATAGCAGAGCCTAGTCCGGAAAAGCGCCATACGCGTTCCGCCCTATTGGGGCTCGTCAGTGGCGCGCATTCCCTCGGTCCTCTAAGGAGGATCGAACCCATGACCGCTAGAGGCAGATGCTAACTAGCCAGCAGCTTAAGCCACTGAGCCATGGGGGACGTTGGCTGGGCTACGTAATTTGCAAACTAGCTGGGATATAGCACCACCTATCTACCACTGTCACTGACAGTGGTATTCCCTACAACTAGCTGGTTTTGCTACGTCGGCCTAATCGTCACGGGTGCGTATCATGGACTTCATCCGAGCGTTTTCCGAGGCTTGTCCTAACCTCATGCGCAGTTGCATATGATGATTGTAAGTGTCAACGCTTAGCTCAAAAGTACTACAATGGGACAAATGCCTGAACAACGACTACGGCACCATGTAACGCAAATAATACTTCATCTTGAACATTCAAATCTTTTCCATACATCCAATGTACCAGAAGTGCCGTCGGTCAAACAGTAAGACTCGACGCGAAACGAAAGCAAGCCGTCCAGGGTCAGCCGGATGAATTCAAAAAGCGAGAATACTTACGCAGATTCCATAGATAGCTCGGGCAACGGTTCAGTCGAATAGGCGAACCCCAAATTAGAAGATCATTAATGCTTTTAAGTGGTCAAAGGAGCAGTGCTAGTACGACGTGCTTGTAAGTGTATGACTCAGAACGGGTTTTCGCACAGAGAAATGCAGAGCAGACCGGGCAGAAGTGAAAGAGGTCAACTCGAGAAACCAAGGGCCGTGGACATCGGTGGTTAAACGATTCAAGCTAGACTGGGGTAAACATCCTACACCAATGTAGTGGTGGATTTGTCTCTTATTTGGTTGTAAACCAAGCAGGTAGTGAGACTGAAAATAGAGCAAAATATCCGTTACATTCCGCACTAAAATCGGTCCCGGACTTCCTACTGTGCGGTTGTCACGCGATTTCACTCCATAGCCCAGCTCCATCCAATGTGCAAGAATGCAGCACTTACACTGGCGTGCCTGGAGCGTCAGACCAAATGGATCTGCATTCCACTTACAGAGAGCTAACACCTGAGAGTACACTCTCGTTTTTATCGCTTCCATTTAGAAAAGAGATTTTGCGCAAGTCTTCTTCCTCCTGACAATCGCTGTCATGATGAGCTCTTCATGGCGGAACGTATTTCAGCGGAAATACCCACGAAGTTGCATCCACTATCAATGAAAAGTTTGGCTGATTTCTTTGCGGGAGCAGAATCGCATCGTTTGGTCTGCCACTTCAGCCTGCCCACTATTCTACACTTTTATTGAACTCATTATTTGCTCTCGAATCTGCGCCGCTATTTTTACGTGCTCCTCAGTTCTTTGTCAGTAACCTCACTCGCGTGATAATTGCGTTGGCCCGTTGCACTTCAGTGCGAGCGTCAGTTGTTCGATGGAACGAAATTCCCTCAGGATACTTTTATGTAGTTCGTGATTCTGGACTGGATCTTCTGCAGTTTGAGTTTGGGTCGATCGAATCGAATCATCTTATCGCTGCACTGCATAAACGGTCGCAGCCATGGTGTCGACCACCGAATATCGTGCACTCCCTTTTTTAATAATCCATTCGGCTTTCCCTACGCTGCGTTATTATTTCCACTGAATACAGGAGTCCGTTGCTGGTGGTGATATCTCCTCCATATGTTCTCCATATCCACATCGAACACGTTTCTGCTGTCGTGATCCATATGGGCGTGTTGTGAGTCGCCGGACGAGTAACGGTTGATCGCAGATATTGAAGATGAATGAAAGAATCTAATGCACACAGAACAAACCATTGCACTTTCAATAGACTCGAATTACTGTTCATATGGAGTTTGTGGTGGCCAGACCAATAGGGGATGAAAATGTATCCTCTGTCGAGTACTAGGGATCCCAATTTACTCGCAACTTTCCCTCATAGAATTCAGGAGGTTCTAGCTTTTAATTGGTGTAAAAAGCTAACAACAGACACGCCAGTCGATTTGTACGGCGATAGAAAATAATTCACTTGGCTTAGAGTTGCCTAGATAGACATGGAAGGGTGCATTAGTCTCGGTTTATTCTCCTGGTTACTGATCTGGTCATATTTTCTGAGATACTATTAACGGTGGCATGAGCCTAGCTGTGGCCTCATCATCATCACTAGTCCTACTTCATGTTTAGTGAAGGGCGCCTGCCGACGTGTTTCGCGTCGCAATCCGGCTGCGCAAGTATCATGTTGACCATATCTACATGCTGGTGCGCTTTTTGTGGATGCATTTACTCTCTTTGTTGCTTTTGTTAATCCAGCTGGTTTGGATGGTGGCTGTTAGCGTGTAGCCAAAAACCGCACTCTAAATGAACGAGTAATATGTTATTCTCTTACAGATACTATCACAATGTTCCGACATCGATTACGAATAACGCTCGATCATGTTCAGCTTCACTTTGGAGGTTTTTTGCTAACCCTCATCTATCAGCAACGGTGGTACCCAGCTCCTGCATGACGCATTCCTCTCTCTGGTAACCGTAACCGCAAGCTAGGTTTGTATTTTAACACATTTATACATATTTGCATTTTTATACATTTACATTTCACTCTTGGTGCTGATTAACTTGGAACCACGGTATCTTCGGACATACAAGGTTTTGCCCCATCCATTGTTCTTCCTTCGTACACGCACTGTGGCTATAACCTTCGAGTTCATCGCAAATCGTTGCGCATTTTGGTGCTTTTTGCCGAAGTGCAGCTTCTGTTGGTCTTGCCCGATGTTCTACGCGCAGATTGGTCAGCTAGAGTTGTCCTCTGCGAATCCCCACCGTAGGTTAAATACACGTGGCCAAGATTGATAGGCTGAAGGGAAAAAGTGACACATCTGATTGGTATAATGTGTTTTATGGGTGACATTTTGTATCCTGTTTTCAAAACAAATATTCTCGAAACTTAGCCCACTGTCGGTCGCATTCGACGTTGCTAGGTATGTGGCGAAATGCTACGGTTTCCTTTGTTGTTACGCCCCCCCCCATTAACCGAATGCGCGTTATGACGTTCACTACATCTGTTGTGGTTGTTTCGGTGGCGAATTTGGGGCACCATATTCGCCACCGAAACAACCAATCGGGTATCACGCCATAAGCAGGATTCCAGCCTTTTTTATATCGCAGTCGCGGTATATTCTCTTGTGACTTGAGATGACAGAAAGGCGACGCAGGTTCAGTGGTATTGTAGACGCAATTGCGACGAGACTGGACCTTAACACGGTGCCATAGTTTACGTGCCTCAGCGATCCATTGAGCGATGTTGCGTGCTGCTTTTTGCACCTTCAGAACCACTCATACTAGGTCAGTCAATGGTTAGAGTCCATACCTACTCAGTCTCCTAGCCGTCCAGGTTAGGGGTTGGAATGAGGGTGGCTTTTTACTTTATAAAACCAAACCGCTCTACCTTGCGGTCACGCTTTTGAACGAAGGGATTTGGTTGAGAACGCTAATCGTTCTGTCTAGCGCTGAGTAACCTGACAGTATCCTGTCCAGAAATTGAAATGATGAACTCTTCCTACCATTTTCCGATGCTCTGGCCGTCGCAGAGGCTAATAAACCACCCCCTATCTGCTGCACCGAACAGGATGGATAGAGCTAGGGATGTTACTGCTCAAGCCTTTCCGTCGTCTTATTCCTTCTTGCACATTTTTGTCTTCGTCGACCCCTTCCAATTTCACTTTTATTTCCCTATTTTCAACCCCTATATTGGTTCTATGGTCCCTTATCTTCTAGTTTCGACTCACACACAACCGCAGGGCTTCGCTCAAGTCCAGTCGAAAAGTCCATGTCCAGCCAAACGGACGTCAGTTCATCTATTTCTCTCTGTAACCATGTCCTCCGTATGCCCGTCGACTGGATTCCTCGGCGTGCGTTATACGCCGTGGCTGCACCAACTTGGGTGAAGCCGCGAGGTGGCCAGTTCATGACGTGACATAACGGCATGAAGAAATTGACTGGGAGACTTGGTCAGGCGGGTGCGTGCCATCTTGGTTTATAGGGTCCACTTCAATGGTCGGAGATCCTGTCAGGCATGGTGCAGTCAGTGGCGTTCCTGCATTCGGTTTCTCGCATCTGGTTGTTAATTGTCCTTTCATTCTGATTAGTTTAACGCATTTCCTTCTCACTTCAGTTTTTTTACATTCTACATAACTTTAACCCCACTACCTTGACGTTGTTATTTATTGTTATTCTTGCAATGTGAATCGTGGCAACTGTATCCACCGCACTCCGGTGCTCGGATCATAGTTGAACAACTGGACTATACTGAACTCTGAAATCCTAGCTAGGACTGGCATTCTTCAATGTGCGCACTTCGTTGCAGATTGGCCGACTGGCATCACTTGCTCGAACCCTTGAGACCTTAACAACCGACATCTGCTGCTTATCAGAAACTCGCCTGCAATATTCGGGCTCTGCGCTTACCTTGCGATCCCCCACAGGCGACACTGTCGGCACTTTCTCATTGCATTTGTCCGAAGATCGCGCCACTTCAAACGCCGCTTAGATCGATATGGGGATTGCTCTGAGTCCCCGGGTTGAAGCTGTCCTAATTGACTGGATCCCAATGAAGAACCGGATGTGCGCCGTCAGACTGGGTGGCTCGTCTAATCATTCGCAATCGCGCACAGACAAACGGTGCTTTTTTGTCATTGCGGCCTACTTGGAAGGAAAGCTTTCCAAATGGGTAGAGTATTTTAACAACCTAAACAACCCACTACACACTACCGCACCTATTTCAGCATTAACACAGTCAGGATATGACGCGGATTGCTCATCGCCATCTCCCACAGAAATGGCAAACATCGTTCGTCACCTGATGCCGAAGAAAGCCCCCGGAACGGACGTGATTCCAGCGGGAATCTACACATCTTGTCTACCAGCTCTCCTTGACTATTTACACAAACTCTTCTGTTTGGTATGGGAGACCGAAATCTGTCCTTCCTTGTGGAGTACCTCAGTACTACTGCCATTTTCCAAGAAAGGTGACTGAACTGTATGCGGTAGTTATCGCGTGATTAGCCTAATCGATGTGACTGCCAAAACCTTCGCACGAATCTTGATTTCCCGCTTTACAATGAGAGGAATCTTCGAACTCGCCATAACCAAGGTGGCTTTCGTCCAGGCAGTGGCTGCACTGACCAAATCTACACTCTACGTCGAGTACTCGAACACCGCTACCAGTTCTAGCAGCATACATTTGTGTGCTTCGTTGATTTTCGAGCTGCCTTGGACTCAGTTAACTGTGAAGCACTCTGGAGAATCCTACTTGCCGTCGTCATGACGAGTAAATAAATAAATAGTTTATTCTCGTCATTGCGAGGCACACCATCAAGAGCGTGATCATGGTAATACAGACATGTATGATCGGCGGTTACACAACTTAGTACATTTTGACAAATAGCATAGGGATTTATGTGTGTGTTGACATGTAGAAGTATGTTTACGTCTGTATTTGGAGGTAGCCATGCTGTGTGATTAGGTAAATGTGACTCTGTGTGTTTTTGTTCGTTGGGTTCGCCATCAAAGGGGGAAATCAATGAAACGCTTCGAATCGGATGACTTCGTGATGTGTGAATGATCCTCCGGAAAAGGGAAGAGGCAGTGACTTTATTTAGTGGCGAGTCACATCCGCCACTCACAGTGTTGTTAAACGGATACCTGTGGTTTTTTATAGGCGAAATCCCACCACATCCTGGAACACTTCCGCCGATCCATTTACTGGAACAGGATTTACCCGAACCACCGTGCTGGCACCACGGGGCGATTGATGAGATCATACTACCGTTGCACGAAATCCCGGATTCCGGTCTATGGAGAAGAAACAAAGGAATTCGACGTCAATACTGGAGTGCGGCAGGGTTGTCCACTTTCTCCAGTGTTGGTCAACTTTGGAGTCGACTGGGTTATACATCATGCCCGTGTGGGCTATCGTGTTGTTCAAGTTAGCCCTGACTTCTGTCTGTCAGATTTAGCATTTGCTGACGATATCGCTATCCTTTCGGAAGATGCTATATCACAACGGTTACTGCTAAATCGAGTCGACCAAACAGCCCCTATGATCGGCTTCGAAATTATGATTGGCCAGGGTGTACGCAGGCCCCTTACTACCCCTCCCCTGGCTCGTAAACGACGACTTGGCAGTGTTGACCGCTAGGTCAACTTCTGCAAACCACCGGGATGGGCGGTCGAAGTCCTGTTGAAGGATGTCACAGTCGTTGGGAGAATCAATAATCCTCCAAATCTTTAGGTCATCTGCAAGTAATGCGCAGGACTATCGAAAAAAGCCGAGGTACTTTGTTCATGTGGATCAGGAATAAAATGGGCCCCAGTACTGTGCCTTGGAGTACGCCGCTAGTGGACAGGTACCATTCCGTTTGGCGGTCATCCACCTGGATCCACCTTCTCCCAATAAAGAAGTCACTGATCCACTGGTGCAGTGCGCCACAAACACCACACATCCTCAGCTCGTGGAGCAAAACCTCATGGTTCACTTTTTCGAAAGCTTTACTGAAATCTATGTAGATGATATCCACTGACTTCCCTCGATTAAAGGCCTGCAACCATTCCTGCTGCGTCAACAGCAGGTTGGTGATGCAAGAGCGGTCCTTCATGAAGCCGTGATGTGCCGAAGTTTATGAGATCTTTCGACTCAAGCATCTGGGAAAAACCCTTTTTCACAAACTTTTCGAGCACCTTCGCCATCACGGCAGGCGTGATGATGGTCGATCATGACTTAGCACGTGAAGTCCATTGGGTCCGGCAGGTTTTGTGCCATCAAGACTAGCGAGTAGACTGCGGACATTTTCCATATCGCGATCAAGGCCCTCGAGTTCAGTAGGGACTGCACACGTCGAGCTCAGCATAGGCGCATGCCCACTTGTATATATGGAAGCGAAGTGCTCCGCCAATGCGGACACACGTTCATTGCTGGAGGTCAGAGATTGTCCGTCAGTGCCCTGTAACACAGCTACGTCACTTGCGAGCCTCAGGCGCGTTTCACGTAAGCAAAATTCTTAGGGGCCGTCTTTGCTGGTGTTGCAAGCTCGTCTTCGAACTGCCAACGCTTTTGCGCTGTTGCATAGATTCCACTGCCGTTTGTACACCTCGTAATCGTTGGCAGAGCCAAACACGAAGTTATTCCACAATTCTCGATACCGTCGACGCAATTGACTATACTCTCTGTCGAACTCGGCGAGTCATCTTAGGCCAAAATTTCCCATTTTTCCTGTCATGTCAAGCCATTATTTTATGTTTCCTGCTCTGTTCATCCTACGGGATTTCTCAAGCCCGTTCTAAATCATTGTTCATATGGTCCGGGATCGTCCGACCATGAGCCACGAAAACCTGGTGTAGTACAGAAGCCTCGATTCCGAACAATGTACCTGAAGTTTACCTGCGTTATTGTATTCCTATTCATCGTTTCACTACTAACTGATTGTGTCTTGAGTTGTTTGTCTTCGCACTACTAGCTGTCTGCGCCGTGCTAATTCGTTATTCTGAGTATACAACCTTTGGTGTCGCAGCAGTTATTCCCACTGGATATACATGTGACTGAGTCTCTTACCATTAACACCGGTGGCGAAGAACTTTAAGTTTGAGTTTACGAGCTCGAACTTGGGTGCGTTGTTCGTATGGACGTTGTAGTGAATATGAATCATTCTCGCTTTCTGTATTTTGGAACATTAAATTTGATCCTTATTTGTACCTTCCGATCGACAGTTTGTTTAAGTGATGATGTATTCCTGCTGAGTCAGGCTATTAGACTGCCGTTTGTTACTGCTTACCTGTGCTCCATTCATTATCTTTTTATCAGTACGTATTAGATTCAGCTGATCTAATTGTTCTACTAGTCCCTGCTCGACATGCCTCTTGCGCGCCACTTCTCGCGACTAGTATCTGAGTAGCACTCCATAACGTTAAAAGGGGCGAACCAAGTTACATATTTCCTAACTTCAGGCGGGTGCGAAGTATTATCTATTCGGAATAGCCTGGATTACAAGCGTTGCTCACGGATCTCAATGGATTAGTGATTAAGACGTTGGGCATTAACCATTAGGCCCCAATTTTCACTCCCAGCTCTCAGGCTGTCTCTACCTAGTGAGTACGAACGAGAACGAAACTGGTAAAGTGGAGTTTCAGGGTTGGGGGAACAATATCGGAACCTCCCCCTGCAAACCCGAATTGTTCAGATTCACCGAATGGTTTGCTGTTCGAGAATTTGAAAGATCTGCTCATGAAGCACCTGCAAACTTCTGTACTGCCAACAGAGCGCATGTTCCGTGTCGAGCGCACTACCCTTTCCGTTTGTTTTGCGCAAACTGTGCGAGTGACTAGAGGCCCCAATTATAAATAGTATGAATATTCCTACGAAATTAGAACAGCAGTTACTGCAGCCAGCACTCGTTCATTGCGTTAGTTCCTGTCCAGCATTCACAATGACATACGCTGGGCTGTTGCCAACATCTTACGGCTGTAGTCGGTATGAGTTTGTCGCAGCATAATGGACCCACATGTTTCGCACATATTAGTGTGCAGACGGATGTGCGTAACCTTTTGACGGTACATACGCTTTGGGCTCGTGCATGCGCATAAAAACAATACAGCCACCTTCGGGTTTCGCAGGTGAAAACGAAAGAGTTCGTGCGCAATTTTTCACTGTTAACGAAAAAAGCGTGAGCAAGATTATCAATTAATAGAAGGGGTTTGAAAACACTGAAAGTACTTTCTCAGCTAATACCTCATCACTAACGTTGGGGAGAAGGAACGAGGCCTATGCGTACTTGTAGCCTATTTCCCATCTATTCAGCACCCGCATTACCCCGCCTCAATCGCTGCGACTTTCGTTGACCATCTGTGGAATCTTTCCTGACTACATACCTAATGTAGAGCTGATCAGAATTGTTGCCATTGCCCAAGGGACTTTTCGTTATACTCTTCGCTTAAGCACTATTATTTACTGTGATCTATCACAAAAAAGCAACTTAGCGTAGTCTCTTCCAACTCTATGTCTCCCTTTCGGCCTTCCTGTCGTTTCCTCCAACTTCCTTAACTTGCCTGGGTGTTATCATTAATCTATTTGACATTTAATATTGTTATAGTATTATCAGCTCCATGATATTTAAGCTTTTATTTCGTGCTTTCTTGAGTACCTCTTATCATCGGGTACGTGGACAAGCTAAGTATCTGATCCAAATCTCATAGTATGCTCATTATGCCCATTTATTGTTCACATATTGATCCGATTGTTTACCACCGAAAAATGTCCGTTGGAGCCCCCTGAGTGACCGTTTTTAATGACTCCGGCCGTCTCAGTGAGACACATTTGGAACGAATTTAGGTCATTCGAAAACATTTTCCGATGCACCCTTAACATGTACTGTGAACGCCTTTTACCAGGAAACGATTATCAATTTCACCATCGTAATTACGCAATACTGAAGCCATCAAGCTGAACCGAAATTTTTTAATGACCCGTATGTGTCCAACTGGGTCGGACAGGGGGCACAAGAACGGTTACTCAGCGTTCTCCAACAGTCACTCGCGCTGACTAAAATTACGATTTTATTAAAAACGGAAGACTTAAAAGTAAAAACTGATGGTGTTAATGATGCCTAATAATATTTAACATGTCTGGACGCATTGCACCATTTGTTTTCCTTTTGCCTTCGCGAATGACCAAAAACACCTAAATTGAACAGCTGGCGGCTGTTGTGTATCACTTGCAATTGAACTGAAGACATTGCGGACTCATTTGTGCGGTGTAATGTGTGTTCCAGCAAACATACCTTACGAATAATCACATAAGCTACACTAACAAGGATTATCCAACGTTTTGAATATCTTGTACTGGTGTCAATAAATTTTTAAGAATACCTTCTTTCCGCCACATTAAAGAGTGCCGACAGTTTACCTGACTTACCGAATCTGCACGGTCCTTCTCCGGCTTTCGCATATTGTTTCCCGTGTAAGCCACGCAGTTCAATTGCCATTCACCGATATCCTCTCTCCATTGTACATTTTGTTTGATAAGTTCCTGGGCGAAATAACAAAAGTAACTTGATGAACGCATATCTGTCCCTTCTCCCCAATCGCTTAAAGCTGACAATTAAATAATTTGATGTTGTTCCTTAACTTTGGCAATTCGAAAAGCACGGAAAGAAAACGCAAGCTGTCAGTACCGTAAACGTAGATGCAACCAAACTGTCTTGAGGTACGGATGTAATTAGGCCAAAATCACGACTTCTCACGAGTTGCCCAACGTTTCAGCGTTGCAAGCCATAACAACTGTATCTACAAATCGTCTAGCGCAGTATTTGAGGTTTCACCGGGGATTCCAATTTCCGCTATGTTAGCTGGCTTTGTTTTATCTCACCATCTACACAGTGCATTCATATTCAGCTCGATGCTCACACTTGTTTGAGATTACTTCACTGATGAGACCAGTCAATCGCGTGGTCTGTAGAACATCAGATACTCCTCACTTGGTTGGCGGCATCCGGTTTCGATTTGCCTGTCACTGTGGCTAGCCACACGACGCCTGCGGCTACCGAGGGACCATGGGTGGCTTGCGCTGCACCACCCACAGCTCCAACCACACACCCCATATCCAGTGTAAACCCGAAGTAATCAGATCGGGAGGCATGTGGATGTGAGCCACGTTTCATCAACGGAGCCGGCCCACACTGCTTCACAGGCAAACACAAGCACACTGTATTTGGGAATCAAGCACACACATGGCGGCGGCTGGACCGTAGTCCACTCCACACTGAGTGCATGGAACCACTCTTTGATCCTAACACGGACACCAGGAACGTACCCCCCGTCCCCTCCAGCAACGTCCATCTGTCTCCTGGACGAGGTAGTGGATAATAGACAGGTAGGCACCTTGTCAACATGCACATCAAGCGCAGCCACACCGGTGATATCAAGCAACAACCAACCACCTGAAATGACATTATCGAATAAAATATATCCGTTAAAGCATACGGCTATGCAGATATAAATCTTCGTTAAATTAGCATATGAAGTAAGTTGCTTAGCAACAAATCTGCAATAATACAAAAGGTCCACAAGTTATACAAAAATGCTACCAACGCGATAAAGTTAGCGAAGATAACCACACTTTGCGTAAACAACGTGTGCAAGTTAATAGAAGATTATTCAGGTATGCAAAATAAACCAAATAAAATGGAATGAAATTTATCCAGCTTAAAAATATCTAGTTTGTGTAAGTTGGGTTATCCCAACTGCGGTGAAGAAGCGTCATGAATACAACATCAGCCTCCTAACTTACATCCCTAGTTACATATATTCTTAATAAGTATGCAAGGATGAAAGCGTCTGTTCTCATTCTGCGACACTGCTCAATTTCCAATCCAGTGGTTTTCTGCTGACATGTATACCTCATTGATTGTGACAAATAAATGTGTTGTATGTTCCCCGACGATGCGAGAAGCTGTTTCCTAGAAGGAACAGATCAAGTAATTTGACCTACTTTTCATGCCATTGCATTAATAACTTTTTAAACATAACATAGGGTGCAATTTCAAATTTAGGTATCACAAGTAATCAGAAGTATTCTGCTGTGTTTCCCTGCCCTTGAACCAGGGTTCATCACAATCGCATTACAGGTGTTCGGGCCGAGCAAAAAAAAAGAAATGAAAGGGGCTGTGGTCCAAAATGTTATATGTGTGTTTTTGGAAATTTATTCGGACACCATCGATACCGTTTTCGAAAGCGTTACTTAGGGATTGTGATGTACCTAATATATTTATCGTTTTGGACGGTTAACCGCTTACTAATCGCAGGGCCTAAATTGAAGTGTATAGCAGATTCGGGTATCTCTGGGTAGTTTGTTCCAAATCTTTAAGTAGTGGCTTAGAAAGGAATGTTCTCTGATTCTTGTAGTGAATTTTGGAATCAGAACATTTATCTCTTTGTTACGGATTGAATATCTGCTGTTAACAGATATGTTAACACCGTTATCAAGACTGCGCATACGACGGTTTATGATTCTGCAAAGAAAACCTAGGTTCCGCTTCCTTCTCCGAAGCCAGACTGGGTCAAATACGTGTTTATCACATCGCTCACTGTATGTCAACTTTGAGGAATATCCACATAATTTTCTCCTGAAGCGTTTCTGGATCCTCTCAAGATCATGCTAGTCAGATTTCCGCAGATTAGACGGCACCAGTGCACAGTATTCCGTACAAGGCAATACATATGTTTTGCAAAGACATATGCGAGATTCCGTGATTACTGGTTGGAAGCAGCAAGTAGTGTTTGCTCTGTGTAGCTGCATCTAATGTCACTCAGGGACAATGATCCGTTAGGGCTATAGCATTGAAGACGGGTAGCTCAGATTGATCAGATGGCGGCTGAACTGTTCGCTGAGCTTGGTAATTTTGTTGCAAACTTTTCGTCACCAATCGGAATGACATCATCAGTGCGTAGTTGAGTGGCATGCAATAGCGAAGAGGAGCGTAGAGGAGCCTCGGTGAGATTGCGCTGAGCGTGGTGTGCGTGCGTTTTTATATCGCCGTGGTTGGCCGTGGATACGAGCAATCCTATTGGCTGGGAGTTCGATCCGCGTTCAGCTGGGTTGATGGGCAGATGACGTTTGACCTTGACGCCTTGTGTTTCGTGGCCTTTGTCTGGTTGCTCTTGTGAGCGAGTCTGTCGCCAGTTCTGGTTGTCTAGTCACACGTTCCATCGGATTCAATCGATCGAGTTGTCGGTCGTTCGCCAGTAGTGTTGCGTATACTGCGTCCAGTTCGATGTGTCGATTAATTGAATTCGTTGTAGAGTACCAGGCTTCCAAAAACTCCCTCGCATGTTTTGTACTTCCATGTGCTAGAATCTTTACATTCTCCAGATCGAAATGGTGGCCTTCTTGATCTTCATGCGCAGAAACCAACGAGTGCGGATCATGTCTTCTGACGGCCGCCTTGTGTTCGGTAACTCGTACACAAAGTTTTCTTCAAGTTTGTCCGACGTAGTTTTATCGCTGTCGTGACCGATCGGTCATGAATTGGCCAAAGAAACCATGGTGGAACTACTTGAGAATCAACGAAGCTCAACGACAACCATACGAACTGAAAGCTTTTGGCAACTCCTGAATCACCGCATGACCACTTATTTCTGCTTTGATGGACAAGTGTACCAGCAATTGAGAGGAACACCCGTGGGATCCCCAATTTCGGGGCTCATTGCAGAATCCGTGATGCAGAAATTGGATCGCATTGCACTGCCATCTATCAGCCCAAAACTCTGGATACGATACGTGTACGACACGTTTGTCCTCGTAAAACGGAACAGAGTACAGGCCACGCACGATTTTCTCAACAGCACATTCGAGAATATCAAATTTACGATTGAATTAGCGCAGGATAACAAGTTACCATTTTTGGATGTACTGGTCACTAGGAATACCGATGGCACTTTGCAAACAAGCGTATGTCGGAAGAAAACACATATGGACCAGATATTAAACTACCACAGCATCCATCCGATGAATCACAAGAAGAGCTGCATTCAAACCCTGTTCAGAAGAGCGGAAACGCACTGCAACACAGCCGAATCGCGGAAACAGGAAGAAAATCATCTATATCGAATGTTTAGAAACAACGATTATCCGAGAAATTTCATCAGAAGAAGCTTAATGAAACGAGCATCTTAGCAATAGCAGCAGTCACCTAAGCAAGCAAACAAACGGAGTGTGCTCCCCGACATCAAGAACGTCTTCGAACTCACAGGAAGATTGCTGCAGTCACATGGCATCACTGTGGCCCACAAACCGAGTGCCACCCTAAGGAAATTGATCTCAAGACTCGAAGAAAAAGTCAATCAAGCCGACCAATGCAGTGTCATCTACCAGGCAAAATGTAGCGACTGCGCTGAAAATTACGGCGGACAAACTTGAAGAAAACTTTGTGTACGAGTTACCGAACACAAGGCGGCCGTCAGAAGACATGATCCACACTCGTTGGTTTCTGCGCATGAAGATCAAGAAGGCCACCATTTCGATCTGGAGAATGTAAAGATTCTAGCACATGGAAGTACAAAACATGCGAGGGAGTTTTTGGAAGCCTGGTACTCTACAACGAATTCAATTAATCGACACATCGAACTGGACGCAGTATACGCAACGCTACTGGCGAACGACCGACAACTCGATCGATTGAATCCGATGGAACGTGTGACTAGACAACCAGAACTGGCGACAGACTCGCTCACAAGAGCAACCAGACAAAGGCCACGAAACACAAGGCATCAAGGTCAAACGTCATCTGCCCATCAACCCAGCTGAACGCGGATCGAACTCCCAGCCAATAGGATTGCTCGTATCCACGGACAACCACGGCGATATAAAAACGCACGCACACCACGCTCAGCGCAATCTCACCGAGGCTCCTCTACGCTCCTCTTCGCTATTGCATGCCACTCAACTACGCACTGATGATGTCATTCCGATTGGTGACGAAAAGTTTGCAACAAAATTACCAAGCTCAGCGAACAGTTCAGCCGCCATCTGATCAATCTGAGCTACCCGTCTTCAATGCTATAGCCAAAGACCCGTTTTGTTGTGATGCGCTTAATATATTTTGCGTCGACAAAGTGTTTGTACAGGAACTTCTGAAATTCCGACACCGACTTTGCCTCAACTGCCTGCTGCGGCAGGCCGTTCCATACATTCATCACTCTGCGTTCGAAACAGAGTTGGTTAGCGACCCGCTTCAAATCCAGTGCGACAACTTGTACCGATGTCCTCGTGTGCTGCTTGGTGTGCGCAAGTGAAGCAGCGGTCTCAACATGGAGTAATCTCCTAGATGTAATATCCGTTGCGTCATGACGAGGTCAACCCGCATTCGACGGTAAACTAAGGTGTACAGCCCTTGTTTCTTACACCAGTCTTCGTACTGCACACCTCTTAAGTTGGGAATCAGCCTTATGACTACATGCTGCACTCGCTCAATCTTTGCTGCCTCGCGCCGGGTGATAGGACAATACGCAGGAGAGCCATACTCTAGTATT